AATAGTCATACTTTATTTCAGTATTACCAGATGTTATCACATATTTTTAGATCCAGTAGCGCTAATGTGGAGCAAACAAACAGTTCTTGTGCTCAGCGTCTTCCACTTATCTGAGACCTGGTGGTGGGGCAGACTTCCCTCTATCAGACACCTTCAGCTCCTCTGAGGGAAACCTGAGGCGTTTCAGGGCCAATCAAGAAACATCGTCCCTCCAGGGTGTCCTGGGTCTCCTCCTGGTATAACATGCCTGGAACACCTCCTGAGGGAGACGTCCAGAGGGCATCTGAAACAGATGTCCAAGCCACCATAGCTGCAGAGCTCCTCACTTTATCTCTGAGGGAGGGCCTGGCCACCATGTGGAGAGAACTCATTTCAGCTGCTTTGATCTGGATTTTGTTCTGCTGGTCATGATCCAGATTTCATGACAGTAGATCAGGGTAGGAAAGTAAACTGATCTCTGAATCTAGAGCTGTACCTTTAGGCTCAGCCTCACCGTCCGCCTGTGAATATTTAGTAGCGATGGAGAACGTCTCTACATTTTCTACAGTCAGACACAGAGTCCAGAAGTGGAGTTTCTAAAGTGAAGTTTGAACTTATCAGATAATAAAATATTTACCTAAAACTTATCCTATTCTAATCAGAAAAGAATATTTCAGCGTTACCTTTATTAGCAATATTTGAATTTATTAAGCTAACAACAGAGTAATTCATAGGTTTCATGGTGGGAAAAATAATTATATTAGATTAAATTCATTTGATTTTTATATTATGATCAACTTTTACATTTTATTCCAGTGTTGAACACTCTCCTCTGCTGTGGACAAACTCAAGGTAAGTTCAGCTTTTAATCTTTATTATAAATATATTTTGTATTTTTCTTTTTTATAATTTTAATTCTAGTTGTTAATATCTATTATAAAGCAGAACAGATGTGAACTAAATGCTGGTTCTACTGTAGATGCTGTGCTGACAATTCAGCCCAACTGGTCGACATTTTATAGTGGAGAGTCTGTTACTTTCATATGTGACATGAATGAAGGAGCAGAAACTGACTGGAATTACAGTATAATGTTGAATGGAGGAGAACTTGTCCCCTACAGTTCACATAAAAGCTCCACATTAGAACCTCTCCAAACGGGTGACAGCGGTGAATATCACTGCTGTGGTTCCAGAATCAGCTCACATCAAACCAAGTGCAGTAATACTATCTCTATAACTGTTTCAGGTAAGCCTCCAATTTTCTAAAAAATAAATTGTACATTTAAAAAATAAGGATGAATTAAATGTTTTTTTACATTTTCACTTTTCCAACAAGCACATTACTTTTCACTTTGAATTTTTAAGGTTTTTAGTACAAAATCAACTTTTTTTTTTCTGTTTTTCATAACATCAGATAGACCCAGAGCCAAACTGACAGCAGGTCCATCAACCATACCAGTAGGGGGCAGTGTGACAATGAGCTGCACTGTGGAGCCCTCTGCTGGATGGAGGTACAGATGGTTCAGAAGGACCCCAGACACCTCTGGAGTTGAAGTCAGAACAAATAAGGATGAAAACAGAGAAATCACTGTGAGACAAGGAGGAATCTACAGATGTGTTGGTATAAGAGGAAACCCAGATATCTACAGATATTCAAGCTCTGAGGTCACTGTTCGGATAACCTGTGAGTTTGCTGATGAAAACTATCAGCAACTATATCTACTAAATCAAATATTTTCATCTTTCTTAGTTTAATCACAATAACCTGTAATCATTACAATCTATTTTTCTAATTTAACTTCGTTCTCTGTGTTACAGTATTTATTATGTTTCTTTTTCTCTCTGGAAACAGTTTCCAACAAGGTTGTTGTGACTCAAAAACCAAACAGCTCTCAGATGTTCAGTGGTGAGACGATCACTCTGACATGTGAGGTCCAGGGAGGAGAAAGCACTGAGTGGACGTATGAATGGAGGAGATCTGGTTCTGTTATACACAGCACACCCAGTAAAGACTGGCTTTTTAATGTTTCGGGGCCCAGCAGGGAAAAATCCACATGTAAATGTAGAACAGGAGTGGCCTGGTATT